TCTCTCTCTCTCTTCCTTTTCCTCCTTCCTTCCTTCCTTCCTTCCTTCCTTCCTTCCTTCCTTCCTTCCTTCCTTCCTTCCTTCCTTCCTCTTTCTCTTTTCTTCTTTTCTTTCTTCTTTCCCTTTTAGCTTTTTATCAAGATACAAAATACTTACAGAATTTTTTACAAATTATAAGTGTATACTTGTACAACTCAAAGAAAAATTACAAAGTGAACACACCATGAAACTACCACTCAAGACAAGAACTACATCATTATTAGAATTCACCTAGTGCCTTTCCCTTTTTTATTTTAGGTAATTACATTTTTAGTGGTATCAGTATTGCATGCTAAGACCCCTTGCATGATCTCTGCAAATAAAAATTTCACAATTCATAGCAAAAACTTGTATTTTAGATTACTTGTCTTTTATTCACTTGGAGTATTTTCCAATTATAATTTTTAAGAATTTATTAATATTATAAAAAATCTTTAGCAGTAAATATAAGGCGTATAGTAAGCTTCATCATCTCTTTGTTTAGTTGTTTATATCACCAAAGGTTTATTGATTTTTGGTAGTGCATCCATCATATTGGTCCAAGTAAAATGTTGGTTTGAAACAAATGTGTATCTGGGTGAGTGGCAGCTTGTTCATTTTTTTGTGTGTTTGTTTCTGTTCAGAAGGTTGTTTGAACTTTACTCCAACTTTTTATCAAGAATATGTACCTGTATTACCTATTATAAAACACCAATTTATTAAAGGGCTCATCGTCTCATGATATTCCATTTAGCTAAAATTTTTCCTTTATGCCTTTTGAAATTACAAGGGTTATGGAACTGCAAACCCCACACTGCAATCAAATTTATAGAAAATTGCTTTCTTCTCATAGTATGGTCTGTTTTAGATTATGTGTATTTTTTGTGTACTACTTGCCTGGTAATTTAGAATGATGCCCTAAAATTGGAGGTTTCCAAATGAATAACACAATTTAGAGGCTGATAACGAGAAACTAGGTATTTTTGCAGTGCTGTGAGGGGCAAATTTAAGTGGCAAGCTAGCATTCTACTTTGTAAGTAAAATTAAACTCAACAGAGTTTAGAACATAATTCAGGTTCAGCTTTTTCGTGTTCTGCTCTTTTAGCCTTTGGCTTTATGCCTAGGAGATGATAAAATGCGTAAATTTTGGAATTGTACTCAAGAGCAATTTCAAACAGGTTGTTATTGTCTGAATATTCATGTAACATGTAGCTCAAGCTTTCATTTGAAGTGAGTTTGATCAAGTCACCAATTTTTATTATATATTTGCATTACTTTTCTAAAAATAGTAAAAATAGCTTTCCTCACCTGCTTGGTTGGACTAATACAGATTTAAAAACTGAACTAAGGGTTCTGGTTCTTCTTTTTATTTTCACTGTTCTTTTTTAAGTTAACAGCTCCAGGTAATTGAAGGAACTTGGATGCTTCAATATTGCTGTTGGCTTGTGAAATAAAACTCCGAGTAGTTTTATCCTTCCATTCTTTTTTTCACTCCTCCATTCATTGGTTTGTAAAGTTGGGGCATTTTGATAGTACAAGACACAAGACAAAGCTGAGCATTCTAGATGGCGTTTTTCTAATGATGGCTACAATTCCAGCAGCAGAAGTCCTAAAACATTCTTATTCAAGTGTGTGTTGCACAAAAATGGTAATTGTTAAGATAATTCCACCATCCTCTTCTTGTAGAATACCATCATTGGATTGTCTCAGCAGCACTTTCCTGAATGTTGAGTGTGAGGAACATTCTTGGGTGGCATGGAATATGTTTTGATAGCCCTCTAATTCTATTTTAGCAGAGATTTAGGGAGCTAAAAATCTATATTCTCCTAGATTAATGAAGCAACCTTTTTATCATCTCATTTTTCTTTATAGTCTATGAAATTATTTTGTGCATCTCACCAAATCCTGTAATTCTTCACCTGCCCCACCCCCCACCCCAAGCACACTAGATTGGAGCTCAGGTGTGTGGCCCCTCACCATTGCCTGTTTAGAAACTGAGTGCTCCTGACCACTAATGCTCCCTGCTCCTCCTCCCATTCACTACTTTGAAACTATCTTTCCCTCAAATGCTTGTTTCCATCATTGCTTTACTTTGCTTATGAATGTCAGTACTATTATTCACCACCTCTATTCCACCATTATTATCACCCTCCAAAAATTGAATTTTCCCATAAATAATCACCGGAAGCATAAAATTGATTGCTCTCACATATTTAATATTCAGTGAACCAGCATTGTAACAGCACCATGCATAATTTGGAGAATCATAATAGAAGTAATGAATATGTTAAAAGAAATCATTATCCTGGAATATAAAAAGAAATTAAAGCTACATCTAGACATCTGTGCACAATTTAAGTCACTTATTCAAGTGTGATATAGAGAAAGTAAGGCAAGACTATGCTATAGAGAACCTCTTTAAAGATGGATAGTACTGTATTATGTTGTCCAGGGTAAAGGAGATAGACCACTAAAAGATAACCTCACTGAGGGGGATAAAAAATTTGTAAAGAACTGATACTCCTAAGCAATATGATAAGTGATCAAACACAATATAAAAGACTCCAGAGAAATGACTGTTCACTTATTGTATTTTATTTTACAAAAATTAATGCTATAAATATGTTTCCCAAAGTGAATGTAAGGGTAGGAATCTATCACAGATTAAAGAATAAATGTGTTTAGCTAATGGTACTGGGAACCAGAGCATGAGCTCTGCCAATTCTGCCCAGAGGCTGAGGAAACAATGAAAATTTTACTACTTCTTACAATTTTTTTTAATTTATATTACTTTGCTTCTTAATGCAAAACAGTAGGTTGAGGAACTCTTGGAATAGTAGAAAAATCAATAATCTCTTGTGTTTTTTTTTCTGAATACACGGTCTATATGTCTTTTCCCCCAAAGTTGGATAATTCTTATTTCCTGAATTACAATTTACAAGAGAACCTGACATGTATTAAATTGAATTTGAGAAGAAAGAATCCATCTTAGGATGTAACTTTGTTGAGAGACATCTAATTGCTTTCATCCCTCCTCCCACCCATTGTTTCGTATTCCACCTGGAGTTCAACCTGTCTTTCAACCTTACTTACTTTAAGCTTTCCATCAGTTCCATTCCATTTATTCTTTCCAAGATTTTTTCCTTGAGTATTTTACCTTTAACCTCTCCCAATCCACCTAGTCACTTTTCACTGCAAATCTAAAACTATTAAAGTATTTTCCCAATTAAAGAAATCTACAGGTGTTTGTTGATAAGTTGCTGTTCATTTATTCACTCTCCCATTCATTAGGCACCTGCTCTGTACCAAGCACTGAGCTCAGCACTTGTAATAAAAAGATGAACACACCAAGGTCTCAGAACTTTGTGTGGCTCTACATCCACTACAGTAAGAATCATCTTTGAAAGAGGGGTGGGAAACACCAAAAAAGAAAGCTCCTGGATAACTTTCATCCTTGCAGGGGAAATAATGAAACACTAGGAAAAAACATAGGCATAGCTGCAAGACCAGCTACATAATTTGTGAGGCCTGCTGCAAAATGAAAAGTCAGGGCCTCTTGTTCAAAACTTGATAAGAATTTCAAGAAAGTGACAGCAGAGCATTAGTCCAAGTATAGGGACTTTCTAAGGTAAGGACCCTCTGCCAGCCCTGCATAGCTATTAAATTACGTATTAATATACAGGAAGAAAAGGACTTTAGAAAAGGGAAGGGATCAATTACAGCATAGTTGTCTAAATCTCAGTTTTCTTATATTTAAAATTAGCATATTAGAGCCTCCTCAGAGGTTTTACCAGCTTTTTACACAAAAGATCTTTATTCTGCCCTATGAGCCTTATGTTTTGAAATATTTTGTTTATTGTATTGAAGTAAACATTAATTCACATTTCTATTTTAATTCTCACTAAAACCTCTTATCATCATGAGGTAGCTGGTGTTACCAAATAGGTAATTTAATTCCAGCCAACAGCAAAGAGACTACATTTTATCTAGTTGTGAAGTGTTATCTGTTTTGTTTTGTTTTGCTTTGTTTTCAAATAGCTGAAAATAACCTACAGATACCAATTACTACCTGATGGAAACCACTTTAGAACCTTTGATTAAATTCTCTCCATTCTATTCAAGCTATAATTTTCAATGACTCTCACTAGCAAGAGAGGAAAGCTTTAGAATTGTCTGCCTTTTGCCCTTGAAGAATGTAAGTGCTATCACTTTCCCAAACAAATATAAAGGGAAACTCAAGCTCAGTGAATGCCTTGAACATGTTTCTAATACATGTTGATTTGAGAATTCAAGCAGTATTAATGTACTCCATCATTGTATCTTCCACAGTACTGCTCTTGTGAACCATGTAGATTTCAAATTGATATAAACATCTATCTTCAGCATCTGTCCACTTTAGAAAGTTTTCAAGCTGTGAAATGCACAAGTATTTAACACAAGTATCTTTTGGAATATATAGTTTGCCTAGATTTTCTTTCCCACCGTTGATCTAATATGAAATGACCTTATACTTGGAAATTGTACGTACGTACCATCATATGGTAGAGTCTCTAGTGAAAAAGAGCTACTAGTCACAAAAAATAAAGCTGGGTTTGCCAATATGCTGCTATTCTAGGAATCAATGGTTCTTTAACAACTGACTAAAAAGTAACATTTTTTGGTCAATTGTGTACCACATTTACTTTGGCTCATTGAAACAACAGTTGACTGAAGTCACCTGACTGGCCAAAAGGATTGGATGGATGGATGGATGGATCTGCAAATAAAAACAAACAAGTGAATTGCTATTGTATGCAGACAACCAATTGTTGGAAACTAAATGTCTTGTATTTTATTCACTCAACAAATATTGAGTGCCTGCTAGAAGCCATATTCTCTTTTCAGCATTAATATTTCAGTCAGTTGACTTAAGTTTTGGGGGTTTCTTGATGGGAGCATTTTGCCATTTTGAAATGAGGATTCTGACTTCACTTTTAAATTTTGAGAAAAATTCTAATCAACTGGTTTTATATCACACATATTTTTGAGTCACAAATTGTAAGGTGATCACATTTCACTATGTACTTTGTCCCACAGACTTAACCTATTTTTTATGCATTCATCTTAATATAAAAAATGACATTTACTATTCCTTCACATTTATATAAAGTTGTTGAGATAAGTTCTTGGTATGTGGGATCATGTTTTCAATGCTGATTTCATTCATTGTTTAGTGACTGCCTGCTATAGGTCAGGACAGCTCTAGTGTAGAAGAGAGAGTAGTAGTAGGATAGGGTTGGGCATAATGCCTTTTAATGCCATGGGATAAAGCTTAATTTTTATGTTAAACACTATGAATATCCATCAAAGGATCATAGCAAGAAAGGGACATGATTTGATACGCACTTTAAGAAAGTCATTCTGAAAACTGCAGAGAATGTTTTAGAGAGTGAAACCAGTGGCTTGCTAGTAGACCAAATGGGAGTCCATAGCTTAATCCTGACGAAAAATAAAAAGGGTTTGAAAATGGCAATGATAAAGGAGACGGAAATGAGCATACATATTTTAACCAGTAGGAAGGAAGGAGACGGATTCTACAGAACTTGGTAGGTCACTGGCTATGAAAACATAAGAAAAAGGAAGCAAAGGTGAATGCTAGTTGTAATGCTTAATGGAATGTTCCAGGGGAGGAGAGCGTATATTGCGTTTAGACCAAGACAGTTCCAGGTTATACTTGGAAGGCCAAAGTAATCATTAATGAGACCCCTTTACTCTCAGAATTGTCCTGGTTTAGATGATAAATTATGTGGCCACCCTAATGAGCAATGATCATGCTTTTCATGTAATCTAGATGATAAGGAGAGAAATGGAATAGGGGTAAAGGAACAGCATTTACAATAAGGCTCTCCAGAGAGAAATATCTAGGAAGCAAATAGATTTGTGGCTGTGGAGCTCAGGAGAGAAACAGTGCAACTGAAATGTAGATTTGAGCGCGATCAGATGGAAGTGAAATTACAGAGACAGCGTGTGAAGAACTAGAAGGGGGAAAAGGCGTAAGATGGAACCTCCAGAAACACTGATGTTGAAGCGGAGGAAGAATCTACAAAGGAGATCAGGAAGTAGCTGCCAGAGACAGAGAGCTGCTAGGAGGAAAGCCAAGGAAATCAAGTCATAGGGAGAAAGAAAAAAGAATTTCTGGAAGGAGAAAGTAGGCAACAGTGCCAAATGCAAGTAAAATAAAAGCCAATATATAGCATTGGATTGAGCAGCTTGAAAGCAATTGATGAACTTGACAAGGGCAAATTCAGTGGAATGAGGGGTGTAATAAACAAATTAGAGTAGGTGGAGAGAGGCAAGCAATAATGGGGAAAGTTGATGCAGTATCTCAAGGCAAGCATGGGTTTTGAAGTCAGGCAAACCGTTTCACATCCCCTTTGGGCAGGTTGCTTAACCTTAACCTTGCTCACCCTTAATTTATTCCATTCAATACTTATTCATCAAAGATTTATAGAGCACATAATATGTGACAAGCGTTGTGCTAAGAACCAGCTAGCCATGAACAACTTATGTCCCTGACATGGAAGAACACATCTTTTTACAATATAAGAACTGCTATTACAGACATAAGAGCAGCACATTTTGCTTCCTGATCATAAGCTCCATTAACAATAATGAAAACAGTTAATATTCATTAAGTTCTTCCTGTATGCCAGACACTGTATTAAAGGCTTCATGGGAATTATTTCACTTTGCCCGTTTAGCGTATCATATAAAAACAATATGAGAGGAGTACTATTTTTGGTTTCAATTTGCAGATAAGGAAACCAAGGCTCAGAGAAGTTTAGGACTTATCAAATGCTATCCTCATAAATGGCAGAATAAGCAGAGTCCAGGCAGACTGACTTCAAAGTGAGCATTTTAAATTACTACTTTACTGCCTTCCATTGTCAGTTGCGAGATTGTTTCCATTTTTCATCATTGCATCCCCTGAATCTACTTAGTTCCTGATATATTATCTAGTTCCTGACAAGTATTAATAAATGTGTGTGGAAAGAAGGAAAGGGAAGGGAAGGAAAGGGAAAGGAAAGAAAGGAAAAAAGGAATGGAGTGACAGGCTCTGCCTAGGAGTTAGAGACCTTTTATCAAGAAGATAATATATGGGCTGTATTTAGAAATCATGTCTTCATTTTCTAAGCCAAGGAAGAGTACAGAAGATACTCTACATCAGCTTGCAAATATAGCACTTTTTCACTCCCATCTGCCTCTAAGGGTAGGCCTTATGTTCTCTAATCCTCTACAGTACCTAACCTTTAACCACATGACCAGGAGACTAAACATTATTAATCACAATTTTCTATTTTATATCTTGGCCTAAATGACCAGTAACTTTACTGACAATCTGAACTTCTTCTGTCCCCTATGGCCTTGCCAATCATATAAAATATCGAATTCTAATGACTGTTTTCTCAGGACATCTTGTGGAGCTTCTTATTCAGACACTAGGTTTTGATAAAAAGGAATTACTTCTAGACAGAGTGCCACCAGGAATATTAAGCATCAATAAATAATAAACCTCTTACTGCATGATCTCTTCCCATTCTCTCATCTTAAATGTTCTTTCCACAGTTATGAGACAAGGACAAAAACTCCCAACTGCTTTAAAATGTGCCAATAATTCCATTTGCTCCTGCTGTTCTTTCAAACCTTTGAAATTTGTTGCTTCTTATCTACTTACGGGTGAACTATGGCAAGAGTCATGAAAAGAAAACAACACAAAACAAACAAAAGAAATATCTTTAATGTTCAGAAGGATGTCCTTAAACTCACCAGTATTACTTAGGCACAATACTGGAAGTACATTTTATCTGTCTGTTCATTTGTTACTTTGAATTGTTTGGAAAAATCATCCTACTTACTTACCTTTCATATACTTTGTATAGACATAGCCTAAACCAACCACCAATCCTTTCTAAAACCTCACCTTTTTTTTCTTGAATACATTCTGTTTTGTGTGATTCTTACCTAGATTGTTTGAGCGTGTCTTTTAGGTGTTGAAAGTAATTTGTTTTCATGTGAAGCCTAGAGTATAGCCTTGTATGGCATATACCTACTACATGGCCCTTTTTTGATAACCCAAATGTGCTCAGCAAGAACCCAAGTTCTAAGCAGAAGTTTTGCTAAAGGTCAGCCCCATAACTGGTCACATCTTCAAGGAAGACAGTGGAAAATTGGTAAGTTCACTTTAGTGCTTATTTCAAAATCTTGTTTTATTTCAATCTATGTTTGAAAATACTCAATTCTTAATTATTTTCTTGATTTTGTGTAACACCACACAACATGTAGCCTGGTGTCTGAGTGACTCTTCATTGAACAATGCAAAATCCATGCAGAATGAAGAGAGAGAGGACTGGCGTTGATCAGAAGAAACTTTTACTAACTTTTACTGCAGATGGGATTTTGTCCTCCCCAACACCTGGCAAAGGTAATGTCTCCATTTCACTAAGTACTCTTTAATTTGGAATTACAAAGGCAATTAGCTGTCTAATGAGTTAGAGCAACTAAGGTGAAAGAGTAGGGAAAAAACTGAACACCAGATGATGTCGTTTCATGCCAAGAAAAAACGAAAAATGAATGACTCATTCTTGGTAAAAATTCTTTCAAATAGATGACTCTATTTTTTTCTTTTCAAAACTAAGGTATGTAGACCTTATCGCCTGGTAATGTATGGGGAAAATCTAATTTGACTTATTACATGTAAAGATTGACAATCATGAGCACATGAGGTCTCTTTATGTTATTGATTGTTTACCTTCATTTTGTAGAATGGGATAATATCTAATTTGCAGGCTTAATAGGAGAATGAAATGAGATTCCAAATGATAGAATGCTTCTCAGTAAATAGTAGATACTGTTGTTGATATTCTTAACTAGAGGAATTTCCATTTCCCTAATCTTCTAGATTAAAGAGATGAATCACTATCTTTCATGGTATGTAAGGGCAGGAAAATGGTCTACATTTATCCAGAAGGTGATCCTATCTGATTATCTATTGACTGAAATATTCAATAATAGTCTGATTACTTTGTTGTCTTGTTCGATTACAATTTGATAATATGTTCTAAAGAATACTGGGAGCATTTTGACTGTCTCCCCTTCCTCAGGGTCAAATTGTCATGTTGATAGGCATAATTGTGTTCTCTGCTGGTTTACTGTCATCAGGATAAACTATGAAACACATCAGGGCAATCACTGTATATTCAGTTAACTGAGCCAATGATCTGGCATCACTTTCCTAAGTGGGTCACCTATATTAACACGTATTTATATGCATTGAAGATTCTATTGTGAAAGCATCCATCCTTGAGCAAAATGCAATAGCAATCTTAGTGTACGAGGGAATTTCCCATATGTGAAATAAACACTGAAGGACTTCAAGTACAGTTATACAAAGTCATCAAAAGGATAAGACTGGATAAAAAAGTTAAATACACAAATTATATTTTATTCTAGAAAAGATGTGTAGATGAGAGTATAATAGAGAAGCCATAGATTTAAGAGTACTGTTTTCATATCAGTGACAGTCATCACTATCTGCTTATCTAATAGTCACCAGCTTGATGTCACATAAAATGAGCACCAAATATATATTATAAAATCAATTTAAGTCATAGTCAGTAATGCTTTTAAAGACATAAATATGTATTGTGTGAATGTTTACATAGGACATTGTCATACCTTTAGTTTTGTTGGCAGTAAAATCAGGCAAAAATTAAAGAGTAGAAAGCCTTTATAAACACCACCAAGGACACTAAAGGATTTGGAAGTACTTGTGAAATAAATATTTAGATTTTTTAAAAAATGGAACCAAATAATATGAATAAATCAGTATTTAGATTTTTAAATATTTAGATTTTTTAAAAATTGAAATCAAATAGTATGAATGGCTTTCAAGTTCCCCTAGAATCATGTCTTAGATTTTAAAACATTCTACTTCAAAAGGACAAAATTTTAAACAAAAGGAATTTTTGTAACCACATGAGTTAATAATCTATATCGAAATGTCAGCTTTCTCATTTGTCAGCATTCTGATTTGGTTAATTTAAGTGTTCATTAATCACAGAAAACTATGGCATTAAACAAGCCAGTTTGAGTTACATGTTTTGTTCAGGAGGTTATTGGTTCATATAACTATTTCTTCTGTTGCAACTCAAAAAATAAAACTGTTATTAGTAAACTTCCTTTGAAATATCTAATCACTGTTTCAAAGACATTTTATCACCTGATCTGTATGTATCAGTAAATCAAAGCTCACATATTTGTCTCACAACCTCAGCTCACAGAATGTTAAGTCAAGCTAATAAGCAGCATCAATCATACCCAAATGAACAAGATAGTCTGCATTACAGACACTCTCCCTGTAATCCATCCATTATATGGAACATCTGTTACAAATTATCCAACCTCCAGGACTGCTCATTTAAGTGCTTTTTCAAGAGCCTACTGTCTTCATTTCTCCAAATGAGTTAGATGGTAACATCGGTATTGTACCAAGTTCACTGTCACCATATGACAAGAGTCATCTTTCAGTCTGTGCTGAGCTCTAATGGTATATTGCATAATGGTAAATGTCTTTTTACAGTTGTATAGCAAAAATCCTCAGAGTATATGTAAGCCAGCAGCCATCAAGAAACCACTAAGAAAGCTCTTTCCCCGTTGTATCTCAGCCATTGCCCAAACGGTTAAGCATGTAGGGAGTAATACTCATTTTTTAAGTCTTTATGGGACTATTGATTTGCTCAGTTACTTCATATGTGAAATTAATGACCCCAGATACATGTTTGTTCACTTCTATTCATTTCTATGACCATGAAACATGCCCCTAGTCTCAAATAGATACCTTGTAGAACATGTTGGTATCAAGGAAAATCATGAAAGAAAATCTAAATAAATAAGAATAAGTGCAAATTTATACTTCACGGATTAAAATGTATTAAAGAAAGTTTCCTACTTACAGTTTTAGTCCATAGTATTGTCAAGGGTGCACCTGTCTGAAAGAGAAAGGCTTTATAAATGTGTTGCCCTAATGTGTCATTGGAAATAATAATTTCAAATTCACCTCATGGTATATTTGGGAAAATAAGTCACAGTGATATCTATAAATTATTCATAAGTGAATAGTGAGACTGAACAAATTTAAAAGTCTATATAGTCATTATTTTCTTGATCTTAATTTGCATTGCAGAATTGTAATGAGTCATACACAATGAACCCAATATTGGATTTATAGAAAGCTTTGTAGAAACATGGTACCTTGCATATTTTAGAACCTCATATGGTATTTTCATATGGGATTTATTTAACTTATCTGCTCTTAGAATTTATGTAATACTAGCTTAATAAGTTAATTTTAGGATAGGTTCTGGGTTGCTTGAAGTTTTAAATAAGCAAGCTGATACTTTTACCTATTCTTGCCAGTTTGTGCAATAGACCCTCAAATATCTATTTTCCATTTCAGAATGATCACCTTCGATGGATGGACAATATTACTTTTATATTGGAATATATACAACGTGTACAACTTTAACTCATGTAAAACTACATTAAACATTTATGCCTACTTAACTACCTGCAATCATTGGTTAATTTACCTTTCACCTGAAGTATGTGATAATTGACCGAGAAGTGTTTGTATTTTTCTTAAAAGCAACACAAGAATTCTTTAAACATTTTAAATATAGTGATGTAGACAGTCTCACATTAGTAATTAAATGCTTCAGTCAAAAATAGCACAACTCATTTTAGCTCACAACTCACTGGCCTGAACCAATCACATATCACCACCTAAACCTTAGGAGTCAGAGTTCCAGTGACAACTGCATGTTCACAAATTATACCTACCTCTGGTGTGGGAAAATTAGTACAGTTTTTGTTTTTGCTTACAATGAAAGTAGAAGAGTGATCATACTGTCAATAAGACTGCAAGATACTGATATGAAAAACATCCTCTGAGACTACCAATGTCATTGAAACTACACTGTCAACTTCTACCAACCAACAGCAGTATAATAAAACAACATTGGAAAAGTGATGTACTGAATCATCACAATTTACATTTGCTACCACAACCTTATTGCAAAGAAAAATACCCATACATTTTTAATGATTTAAATAGACCTTCCCCCAAATCTTCCTACAGCCTCTGATGGCTTTCATTACATTTTTGCTCTGTGTTTTTCAATGGTTTCTTTCCTTTGTCTTTTCTCATATGTCATTCAATGGCTTCCCATCACATTCAAAATAAAATCCAAATTCATTACCGTTGCCTTCAAATCCCTTTGTTATCTGGCACCTACTGACTTTTCCAACACCATTACCTTCTGTTCTCTTTCTTCACTTTGTTTCAACCACACCAGAATCCTTTCTGTTCTACAAATATGCAAAACTCATCAACATTTTGGAATTTTTTCATTGATGTTTTCTGCCTAAAAAACTCTTGCCCATAATATTTATGTAGCTGGCTGGCTCCTTCTTATCATTTATTTCTTAGCACCCTCGCTAATGTTTCCTCTCTCTCCCCCATTGATTTTCACCCCACTTTCCTTTATTGCATTTATTACTATCTGAAATTATCTCTTTCATTTGTTCATTGACTGTCCTCTCTTCTCTAGAAAATAAAGCTCATAAGGGCAGGTACCTTCCTTATCTTGTTTACTGCCTTATCCCCAGAGCCTGGCACACAGTAGATATTTCCTCAGTATTGTTGAGCAAAATATTAAATGTATGAATGAATAAATATGTAATTCTTTTCCCAAAATAGAGTAATTACATTTTGAGAAATTAAGTAAATGGGGAGAATGGACAGCATATGTAATAATAATTGAATAAACAATAATCACAGGTATTTAATACTAAATATATTGCCATGTCATATAACATGTCAATCAATAAGGCAGAGAGACACAGTGAAATAAGAGGAAAAAATATTGGAGAATAGCGTGGTGGGAAAGGGATTTCAGAAATTTCCTGTGTTTGCAATCACTAAACAGTTCTTTGAAAGTTGGCACTCCTCCCTTATAAATGTGCACATTACCTGCCATTGAGTGGGCTCCATCTCCTGGTGACTCTGAATGAATGATGTCCATAAAAGCCTGTCCTCAACAGCCCTGCTCACCTTCTGTAGACTCATATCTATGACTTTTATGAAGTCAATTCATCTCATTTGTGGTCTTCCTCTTTTCCTGCTGCCTTCTGTTTTTCACAGCATTACAGTCTTTTCCAAAGAACTCTGCTTTTCCATGATGTGCCCAAAGTAAGAGAACTCCAGATTTCATCATTTTTTTCTCCAGCTTAATATCTCAGGTTTAATCTGCTCTGGGACCCACTTGTTTATATTCTGGTGGTCCAAGCTGTCTGTAGAGCTCTGCTTCAACACCATATTTCAATGAATCATTTTTTTTTCCTATCAGCCTTCTTCATTGTTCTACTTTTGCATTCATACATGGTAATTGAGAATATGAGGATGTGGATGATCATAGCCTTGGTCTCTAATGACACATCTTTTCTCTTGGTGATCTTTCCTAATTCTTCCATTGTTGCCCTTCCAAGTCTCAGACTTCTCTTGATTTCTTGGCTGCAGTCTCCATTTGAATTGATGACTGAACCAAGGTAAGCAAATCTTTAACAATGTCAATGGGTTCATTGTCTGTGTTAAAGTTGTCTATATCTTCTGTAGTAGATGGGAGGGTAGATGGGATATGGATAGAATTATTTAAAGCCACAGAGACTGAATCTATCAAAATCCTAAGAAGAATATATCAACAAATATGGAAAACAAAACACAGGTCTACAGACTGGAAACATTCACTAGACAACCCAATCTTCAAGAAAGGAAATGCCGAGGAGCACAGTAACAATAGGACCTTTGCTGTAATTTTCCACTCAAGTAAAGTGATTCTCTAGGTGATGGAACAAAACAAAAGATTCTACCTTATATGCAGCCAGAAATGACAATGTTCAAGGTGGATTCAGAAAAGAAAAAGGCCCTCGAGACCTAATTGTGAGCATTCTTGGGATACTGGAGTGCTCCAAAGAATTTCAGAAGAAACTTAGTCTATGTTTTCTAAACTACAGTAAAGCCTTTGACTGTGTTGATCATGAAAAGCTATTGGTTGCTCTGAAAGAAATGGACTCAGCATTTGATTGTCCTGATGTGTAAACCTGTATTATGAACTGGAAGCCACTGTCAGCACAGAACATGGAGAGATAGAATGGTTTCCTATAGCAAAGATGTCAGACAAGGGTACATTTATCTCCCTAGCTGTTTAATCTGTATGCAAAACATATACAGAAAAAAGTTAGACTCAGAGGATGGAGGAGTGAAAATTGGTGGAAGAAATATCAATAACTTAAAATATGCAGATTACACCATCTTACTGGCAGAAAGTAGCAATGATTTGAAGCAAGTTCTGATGAAAGTGAAACAAGAAAGTGCCAAAACAGGACTGCATTTGAACATCAAGACAAAAATTATGACTACAGAAGACATATAGAACTTTAACATAGATAATGCTCTATTAGTGCGTCAGCATTTTTTCATGACTCATCCCACCTTTCACTCCACCTTACTGTATGAAGCACACACACACACACACACACACACACACACACACACACACACACTTCTCACAAGAAATATTGACCTAAATATTGAAAAAACTAAATGCAATAACAAAGAGGATTCATATGCTAGATCCTGACTACATCGAGTATATTCAAAAGAAATTAAATAGAAGTACTAAAGTGTCCATTAAGATTTTATGTCCAAGAAAGGAATTTTTGAACTACAAATTGATACATCAGCCAGCAGAGGGTCCAGTGCTTTATCTTGCCCTATTTGCAAGTAAGGACCCTAACTTGTGTCCTGGAAGCTCTGCCATGTGTATTTTGACCTATAACTTGGAAAGTGAAACCTCTGATAACAGCTTTAATCTGCAACAGGTGCCTCCCACCAGTTGCATCTTTTCCTGAGTTTAACATGGACTTAACTTGTATGACCAGCTGTGCTTAATTCAATTCCTACCTGAAACCCCTGACATCCTTGATACCTATCATGCCAACTTTTAAGCTCAGTCACCTCTGTTGCTCATTATGAGCAAACATAGGGCATAACAAATCTAATGGAACAATGTTGATCAGACCCTATAAAATCATGCTTTTTGTTTCATATAAGCTTTCAGTGTTCTTCAGCAATATTACTGTTCACATTATTGATTACCAATCACATTGCTCACGCTGATGATTTCTGACCCTCTGAACTTTCTTCAGGCTCCAACTAGTGTCTTCCCATCTCTGCACGTCAGTATTATTATCAGAATTTATTTCAGTTGAAATTAATTGCATTAAATTGAAAAGAAAACTTGAGAACTTCCTCCACATTTCCCCCTTTATTCTACCATTATTCTTCTAATTTATCCAAGCATGAAATTCTGGAATAATGTTTTGTTCTGACTCTTGCCTCTTCCTTTATAATAGCTAATGTATTGGTTCACTTACCATTTAAAACCATTTACAGGCTCTCCACTCCCTACATAACAAAGTTCAAACTCATTGCCCTGCTGTTCAAGATCTTCCCTCAACCTCCTTTTCCCAACCTTTACAGACTCCTGCAACTTCAATGAAACTTAAACTATCTGCTTTCCCTCTCTTCAAAAAATTTTCCAGTCTTTGGCATATTTACTTACCTTTTTGCTAAGGGGAGACAGAGAGACCTATTCCATCTTTAAGTACCAGCCCAGATAAACTGTTTTCTTGGAATCTTCACTGAGAAACCCATCCTTCCAGTCTCAGTATTTCAAGAACTTTCTGTGTCCCAGAGATATGAACCGAACTCCTAAGTGACTTGACTGGAAAATGTCAAAACCTGAATGAGAACCTAGGTCTCATGGTGTCCAGTCAGCCTTCATCATTCAGCATTGTTACATGGTAGTTTCTCCAACCCTTTTAAGCCATATATATATATATATATATATATATATATATATATATATATATATATATATATATATATATATATCAGGGAGAAACACAGAATATTAAATTGTGTGTTTGTAAAATGGGTTTTTCAATTTTGTTCTAAAATTCTGTTTCAGATTTTCAATACTTTGTTGAACTTTATTGTCATAGGAGTACATTGATTGTAATTGTGCATCTTTAATAAGTCCCAAGTCTATATCCAAAGTGATTATTCCACTATCCTACAGGTAAATTTTGAAATCACATTAATAATTTCATTGCATGATGTGTTTACCTATTTGGCTGTTTGCTTCTGATCAGCCAGCTGTTCTGCCAGTTTTCCCAATTGACTTGTAATTTTTCAATTCCAAGAGGTTTATCTGGAGTATTGTTGGAAATACTCTTTTCAGGTTATTTATGCTAATATAACCAGTTTTAGTACCAATAAGGAATTATTCCAGTTTTAATCTTACATAGACCAACGGAGGTGTTCTCAGTTATCCTTTGTATCTTACGGTGCTTCCAGTTTCGAGTAATATAAATCCTAACTGGTTTAAATTGGTTTAAACAATAAGGAAACTTATTGGCT